ATGTAGTGATCACGGCCTCAGAAAACACGGCATGGCAAGGCTCTCAGCCTCAAAGCCTGGAGCCAGTGCAGACGGGATGCTGCGTGCCTGTGTGAGGTAGAGCTCGTGCTCGTCACCTGCTATGCTCCCATATGCTCCCACATTATGCTCCCAGCTGGAGAAGCCACAGATTTTGACAAGATGCTGTTAGTGATGATGTTCCACGTGTGCCCACCCAAGCGCCCGGCGACTCCCTGGCAGGAAAGCCATGGTTTGTCTGTGGATACATGCTTGAAAGCGGCTTGGAGCCTTGTCTTCGGGCGTGCAGATCGTCTTGTGGCCATCGTAATGGTGGCTCATAGCGATCCAGCTCCCAAGAATACACTTGACTGAGCTTGCAGCTTGCAACTTCACAGCCCTGCAACTTGAAGCGTTTCTGTGACTCTGTTGTTGGCCAACATGGCATGATGGCAGGTTGACGGGTCTCGTGCTTAACATCCCGACACCTTGAGAAGTACAGGACTGCAGCGGGGAGATCAAAGTGTTGCATCTGACTGGCCCTGCACCACATGATATAGTAGCATCAGGACCTGGGCGATCTCAGGGCAGGAGGCATGCAGACACATTTTCTGGCGAACGGCTCCAGTGCTTTCTGCAGGTCACACTTCTCCACGGGTCCATGGGGCATGACCTTGTGCTTGAGACAGAACGTCTTCAGCGTCTTCATGCCTGAGATTGATTGGAAATCAGCGCTCTGTTTACTTAATGAAAACTCTTTTTAACTGATGTTGATGAGGGTATGATGCTCATGACGCTACTAATGACGACGAGGTTCGTGATGCTGACGATGAGGATGCTGCTGGTGTGGATGATAATGATGATGATGAAGATGATGATGATGATGATGATGATGTTGATGATGATGATGATGATGATGGCGATGGGGATGGCGATGCTGATGATGGTGGTGATGATGGCGGTAATGGTGATGGCAGTGATGATGATGGCGATGATGATGATGATGATGATGGCGGTGATGATGATGATGATATGTGATGATGATGACGATGATGATGATGATGACGATGATGACGATGATGACAACGATGATGATGCTGATGCTGATGCTGATGCTGATGTTGATGTCGATGTCGATGCTGATGCTGATGCTGATACTGATGCTGGTGATGATGATGTTGATGTCGATGTCGATGTTGATGATTGCGATGGTGCTGATGATGGTGATGATGAAGGTGATCATCATCAGCATCATCATGATCATGATCATGATCATGGTGATGAGGATGGTCATCATCATCATCATCATTCTCATCATCATCATCATCATCATCATCGTGATCATGCTGGTGGTGCTGGTGGCAGCCGTAGCAGCAGTGCGCTCTGGCGGCGGCGTGGAGGTGACTGCAACCCCAACTATCGACATTCTTCTCGCTGCTGGTCGTCACCAAGACCCGGGCTCATGGTCTTCAGGTCCTCCAGGACGAAGCTGTCGGCCTCCCACGAAAGGAAAGGCTCATGAAAAACGAGGGGTTGAGTGAAAGATCGGGGAAGACTTTCGCGAAGGGCATCGGAGCCAGAATCAGATGACGTCGGCAACTAAGGACAACTTCAGGAATCGTTGAGGGTTTAGTTTGGAAGCGTACCGTCGTGGAGCCCCTGCCTCTGCCGGCTTGGCGGAACTCGCTTGGGAGCCGAAGCTCGTTGCCGTGGCCGCAGAGCCTGGGCCCAGCGCCCCCGGCACCGAGGGCGCTCCCACTGCTCCCACTCCAGCGCCCGCGAAGGGCTTCAAGAGGGCCACCAAGTCCGTGCGCTCCACGGGACCGTGGGGCATCTTGCCATACTGGATGCAGTAGCTCTTCAGCCGACTGATGGGCATCGTGTCCAGCTCAGTGGCAGTGAAGCTGGGAAGCGCCCTCTTCTTGTGGTGGTGGTGGCTATGGACAGCGGCTGTCCCATTGCCGCTGAAGGCCTGCTTTGGCTTTGTGGAAGGCTTGGCTAAAGGAGCCAGGGCTTTCTTCAAGTCGGACTTTTCCAGGGAGCCCGAAGGGAGCCGGCCAAACTGAATGCAAAACATCTTCAGCTTGCTGATCGGCATGGTGTCCAGGTCGTCCGTCGTGAAGCTCGGAAGATCGGGCCGGGCGGCACCTGCGAGGCGATCCCCCACCGCCTTGGCAGCCGCCGCCGTACCGGCCGGAACCGCGTGCTTCACGATGGCCAGGCGCTCCAAGGCCTTCAACAAGTCCGTGCGCTCCACCATGCCCGGAGGAAGCACCTGCAAGGCAAAGGGCAACTCTGCGCAGAAGACCGCCGAAGCCCGAAAACGCCGTCGAGCAAAGCAAGCCCGCTTCCCGCCTTGTACTGCACGCAGAGGTTCCGCAGGGTCTTGGACGGATAGCCTGGAAAGAAGCACGCGCACGGGGGGACACGGCCACTGCCCAAATCCGCCGGTCCTCGCCTTGGAGGTCCTCTTTGGTGAAGCTGGGCGGCGGGGGCGGCCGGGCCGGGCGCTCGGCCCGGTGCCCGTGGCCCTCCTTCCGCTCCTTGCGAGCCCGCTTCCTGAGGAGCGAAGAGCGGCGCGAAGGGGCGGGGCGCGCGCGCTTCCGTGAGGGGCGGTGCTGCCGCGCCTGCTGCGGCTGCGGCTCTCCTCGTGCTTCCGCTTCCGGCTGCGGCTCGAGGAAGCACTGCCTCAAGACCCATGCCATTGCGTAACACGTTTCGTACAAAACACGTGGCTCACATGCTGGCACGTGCATGGCGCAATACACGGCGCTTCGCACGGAACACGTGCATCTGTGCCACAGAATGAGCTACATGGGGTAGAAGTTCACCAAAATCTTGGGGTTTATCTTCGCTTCACGTGCGCCGGCGATGCCGCTTCCAACCAAGGCCCTGGCTGCTGCTTCGATGGCTGCTGCTGCTCCTGACAGCTCCAGAACTTCCGGCTTTCACGGCCGCGCAGGAGACTGCATCCGTCCTCGCGCTGCTGTCCGACTCAGATTCCTCCTCCGCTTCGTGCTTCTTTGCCTCCTCTTCTTTGGGTAGAGTCGGGATTTCCTGAGCGGTGCCGGAGAAAGCACGAGTCACATGCAGCCCTGTAGACGCAAAAGGCTGACCGCAGCAAGAGAGTCGGGAAGAGGTCCCGGATCCATGCCGATCAGGTTCGCGACTGCTTTGGCAAAGTACGGGCCTCCGGATCTGCTCAAGATCTGCTCGCGAGCGTCACAAGAGTCCATGCTTTCCCCTCATGATGCCTTCCCACATGGCGAGCAGCAGCTTCTTGCGCAGGACCTCTGGCAAGCTTTACGACTCGTTAGATTGATGTCGGCTCAGGCCCACAAGCTAGTACATGAGACGGCACAAGACCTTGCAAGAGGGCCTCATCCTGCTTGAGTAGCACCTCCACGTCCCCGGTGCCCTGCACTTGGGCAGAATGTGCAACAGCACTTCCCCGCAAGGCAATCAGCGGTGCACGGGAGCCTGGCGGCGCGCTGCCACAAACAAGTCCGCGGTCACCTCCCGCAGCTTCTTCTTCCGCTTCACCTTGCTTGGGACTTGAGGCGCTTGAGGCTTTCACTGTGCCAGAAAAAAGGAAAAGCCCGTGAACCGCAGAATCGGTGTGTCCGTTGTGTCCCAGCGGCCACCTCCCTCTGTGCTGGCCAAGGCAAGCCCGCAACATCCTGCGACCATCCGCGATGAGCAAAGCAAGGGAGGCAGAAGCCGAGGCCTCGGTTGACCTCTGTGCCAAAGACCTCAGAGCTGTGGGGCTGAGCTGCAGCAGCCGGAGCACCTGCATAGCCCGGCATGAGCTCCCACTCCCGGCCGAGAAATCTACTTCGGTTCGGGCCTGCTCCAGGATAAAGAAGCCACAGTCGTGGGCACTTTCCTGGTTTTGAAGCCGGAACGCAGTGCAAGCCGACTCGGGCCTCGTGAAAAGGACTCGGTCTCCCGCCTGTTGAGGTGTGTCTGCCAGCTGCAGCGCCCCAGCAATCAGGCTGTCTTTGTAAGGCGTCTCCGGGTTCGCCAGCTCCCACTCCTCCGCTGAAGAAATGGGACCAATTATGGACATTATGTGACACTCAGAGAAGCGCCCCTGCCTTCCCGCAGTAACCGGCCAGCAACCGGGAGACCTGCTGCTGTGACTGGTTGGGCTCTCTGCGGAGCTCCAGCTTGATCGCAGGCTTGTACCTCGAACTTCGGGCGCTGAAGCGAAAGAGAGTGTGCACAGCAGCTCAGCATCGCACTCAGCAACACCGCCGTAGTGCAGCATGTAGTCGCCGCAGATCCTCACACATGGCATCACATCGCTGTTTTCCAGCCATGGCTAGGCTGCTTCGGAGAGTCTTCGCTTCGGAACGGCCTCGTCGAGGAGTCGAAGGCAAACTCCAGGGTCCCCTCGAGGACCCCTGGCACCCCGAAGTCGCCGTAGTTCCGGACCTTTCCGAAAGCACACGTCTGAGTCCTTCCGGGCCTTGGAACAGCTGCCGCCAAGTCCTTGAGGTCCAACTCAGGCTCCTTGATGATGCGGTGCCCAAACTGAGCCGACAGGAGCCCACAGGTGGGGGCCATCGCGCGCTCGCTGGTTCGAAGGGCTGCTTTTGGGGCTTCGGAGGGCTGTAAGCGTCGAAGGCCTGCAGCCGGGAGAGCCGCGGGTCCACCAGCGGCCCCAGAGAGCCGTCGCCCTGAGGAGAAAAATGGCCCTCTCAGAGCTCCCCATGGCAAGGAGCGCTTGAAGTCTTCTGAAGGAGGAGCGCTTTCAAAAAAGCGCCCGGTCACGCTGCGCCGGTACTCTCAGACTCTCTCAGAGACCAAGCGGGGCTCCTGAGCCCGAAAGCCGACCAGCGCCTTGATTGGCAGAGAAAAGGCTATACATCTTATAGTGTCGTACGGCCTATGGGCAGTGAGTAATGGGGGTGATCTGGGATGATGATCCGGGGAAGCTGCCACGAAGCCCGAGCGCGAGAAGCTGCTGATCTCTACCGAGTAAGCCTCTCTGGCGCATACTAAAAAAAAACTGTGTTGCACAGCGGTCACGTCCTGTCCCACCTCAATCGTACCATCTTTCAAAGCACGCCTGCCGGAGCCAGCGAGTCACTAAAGCACTAAAGTCTTAAACCCTTCACAGCCCCATGCAACAACGCTCTGCAGCTGACCTGGGAGGTTTGTACCGCATTCCTGTGCCTTGCAAAAGGCGAACCGCGACTCTACGGAAGACGAAACCACCTCTCTAAGCAGAGCCGTTACCATTTTGCCCTGGCCAGGCCCCAGACGTGCGAAGGAGTCAAGGCAGGCCACACTCACACCCTGGGTTGCCATGGATGGCGGAGAGGTTGGGACCAAACTCAGGGTACAACCAAAGACTCAGGAGTGAGTGGCCTCCTGAACGGGGCCCTGATTGGGGCAGCCTCAGACAGAAGCGGGGGAAGTGAAAAACCCCGCCCCCCCGGCATCCGCGGTCCTCCTCGCGGGTTCACGAGCACCGCGAGCCACCAGTGCTTCTCTTGCTGTCGCCCCATATAGTCCTTGCAGCGAAGAGAGCGGCTACCGGAGCTCCCGGCTTTGCTCTCCACAAGAGAACCGGCCCGGAGCAGCTCGTTCACGGGCACTGCGAAGGCTCCCACCTGCGACTCGTCGCCGCCTCCCTGCCTCTCTCACATCGCCTCTGCTTTTTGCCGGCCTGGTCTGCGAAGAGGCCGCCTTTGCCCAGGCGCCGCTTGGCCCAGTTGGCCACGTTCGCATGACCTCCGCAGGGTTGAAACGCTCCCGCTCCGCCACTTTCGCGCCCTCGCAGTTTGGAAGCTCGAAGCGCCTGCTCGGCCATCCGAGGCCTTTGGTCCCAACCCCACACACCGGGCTTGCCACATGCTCGCGCGCGCGCCCGAGCTCCCGGCGTGGCCCTTCTGCAGCATCCCATAGAAGTAGGAGCCGAGGTACGCCACAGGAGAAAGGCCTGCCGAAAGAAACTGCTGCAACCCCCCCCCC